TTTATTTACATATTTACCTGCTGCAGATGTCGGTATGTGCAGATGGTTTGGTATTTTGCTTATATCGAGGCGGCATTCGACTGATGACTGAGATTGAAGTGCAGCAACGACGTGTAGAATGCAAATTGAATGCCCTGACCGTTGGCAGTTGAGTTGGGACTCAATGGCTCAATGGAGAAGCTGAATGGCATTCCTATAAAGCCACTTCAAAATTGATCGATTGTTCAATAACGTTTATTTGAATGCCACTGATACGCAGCTCATGCTTGCTAATAGGTTGATGCTATTCTGGACTATAATTGGGTTGTGCATTGAATTCAACGTTAACCAAGTTTGATATTTAAGACAGGCTGTGTAGTCTTGGGGTTAACTAACCCATTACGTTGATTTAACAGGGGCTTGCATAGTGCATATTAACTATATTTCAATGCTCAAGGGTATCTAACACCTCCTGTGACTGGTCAGTCAGCCTCTAAGGGACCAAACCAATTTGATCCTCTTATTGGGATCGCTTCAGTCGGACTTCAGATTACATGAACTCATAGGTACAACTACGCATTCTTATAAAGTTAGCCTAACGTATTTGCTTCTTGTATCGCTATTGCAGTCACAGTTTTCAATGTAACAAATTGAAAATTAGCAAAATGTCTTGAAATTTTGGAGCATTCCATGAATAAGTGAGCGACACTCTCGGCTGTCTGCAGCGGAAAATGTATTATGTTCTTGTTAAGGCCATCTTAAAATAACAATTGTGATGTATATTATTTTGTACCCGGTGCTTTTGTTCTTTTCCTTGTAGTTGCTCCAGTCGTAGCATTTATTTTACTTTGCTCTGCATTTGCACTAAAAGTTTGAGGCAAATGGCAGTGGAAGAGAATTGCGCGGTTCCAGCAGCTTAGTGTTAATTCCCAAGAAACTCAAACTCATCGCAGCCAGCCTTAGTTACACTTTACACACACACACACACACACACACATACACATACACACTAACACCCAGGCACTAACACGCACACATAACGAAGGGCATCAAGTGCCATTTCGCATGAGTAAGTTGAGTGAAATTAAAAAAAAAAAAGGAAAAGCAATTGCAAGAAACTCGCATACGAAACGGCGTGGATAAAATGAAATGCTGGCTGAGTCCTGGCAAAAGGATGACGTCGCGACGCCATTGCGGCGCCAGCAGATTAAAGTGCAGCAAATTTAATTTGGACTGCTGTAAAGGCAAGTGTGAAAACAAGTTTTAATGCCCTACTACCATTCATTGCCAAGGGGTATTCGAGTTCTGCACTTAAAATAGAACATTATTAAATACTAAAACGAAGCTTATTCCATAAATGTACATTTAAGCTAAGAGTATAGCTACTTCAGACTTTGCTATTGACTCTAGGATTACAAATGTCTTGTCCCCTTTCGAAGCTTTAACTTTTTGAGAACTTTAAGTGGCAAGCAACAAACGAAGTACAGCGCGCACACCAGACTCCATACTTTGTGTGTCTTGTGGGCCTGTGGGGCAACAGCTGTGTTAGCGAAAAAGCTTCGCCGTTTATCAAAATATTTTTAGCTATTTCAAGGGCGGAAATTGAGGAAAAGGCTTTCAGAGACGCTCAAAAAATTGTTTAGAGTCCAATCTTGGTTACTCCGTACTTGAATATATTATAATTACTACTATATATATAGTAGCAACTCCGACTGATCAGTTTAAGGTATAGAAATGGCTTATCAGCATCGGTCTACTGTGGCATAAACTTAATATTAGTGCAATTGACTTTAGCTCATTTTCGTCTCAATGGTATTTCAACTACAGCAAACTGAAAACCCTATTTAAATAGTTTATTTATTTTTTTAAGGAACATCCCATTGCTACAATAACTCACTTGAAAAGATATTTCTTAGATGTGTTACAATCAATTGATGTAATTGCCTAGGGTATGCCAATGCATTTCACTAGCCTGTGTTGCGCAACCTTAATAGTTTGCAAATTTCTTGTGAAATTTGTAGGGCCTGCTTCTATAGGCATACTTACACATACGCACATACTGCACAATACATTCGTTAAGTTGCGAATGAAGAGGGCTAACAATGGCAGGCTTCGCATCATATCTCAACTGCACTTCCCATTGTTGGGGATTCGGACATGAAAGTCAGTTGGCTGGCTTGACAAATTCTACGGGCCGACTCTTGAAATTGATATTTTTAGCAATTACGCTCAACTTGTTTGTCACACACACTCGTACACACACACACACATGCATTTATTTTGTATTGTGCTTTTCATGGGCATTTTTGTGACATCCTTTTGGGTATTCCACATGAAATGTGCGTAGCTCCAGCGATATCTGTGTTTCGGGCATTTGTGGGTGGCTCATGCACGAAGTTGAAGGCGCTTTTAATTGCATTTGGTCAGCTCAAAGGATTTCCGCTAAAGTAGGCCCTCAGGCTGCATTTGAGCCAGCCCAACAAGCATCTATCCGTGACAATTTAATAAAAACGCAAACGCATTTTACAGCAGGCAATGCTTTAAATTTGTGGAATTTTATTGAAATTAACTTTGATATTTCTACGCAGAGTTTGTGAATCCAGGTTCATTAGCCTCAGAAATGAGCCAGGCACTTAAGTTTACAAATGAAACATCAAGAGTCCTGTGGGACTCAGTGGTCACTCAGCATAAAGTCAGAAGGTTTGTCCTTAAACACATACACGTATAGATATATACACATTGAGACAGACACGCGCAATTCGACTCGCCCGTTTACATGTACGCATCTTTGAGTTTGATCAAAGGCAGCAAAAACATATTAATTCCATTATGGCAAAGACAATCTGGCTAAAGAGAAGGCAAAAAGAGCAGCATGCTGTGCTGTGCAAAGGGTCCTCTAATGCGACACGCAGTCGGATTTGTCAACATTGCGTATACGCAACGTGCGCTTGTGTTTTTGGAAATTGCTTTATGCCTTGCCTCGCATTGTATAAGTAGATGGACATGAACGAATTTGCTACTGATTAAGCATCAACTGTCATGGGTTCTGTCCGCCACACACACACAGCATACGCAAATTCTGCAGAAAAAAAAATGAAGTAAAATCAACAAAAATATTTAACTTTGGGCCACTTGCAATACCGTTGGGTCAACATCCGAGAGTGGCAAATACGAGTACAAACAGTATGTTTGCCATTTGTGTGCCAGTCTGTAGATAGTTTCCGGCTACGTGAGCATACACAAAAACATTATTGCCCATACACACATTGCACAGATAGATATCTTTATATATACACAAACACATCAGACTTGGTGCAGAAAACGGGGCATAGACACATTGTAATTAAAGCATTAACTTACTTATGTTGTTTTGTTCGATTAAGAGCGCATTATTTGTTGATTTTGGCTTTAATTAAGTAATTTCCACACCTGATTTTCCGGTTATCTCATTATGTTTATACATTTGTTGTGTTAAGTAGAGTGTTAAAATTAGGATAACAAATTATGTGTGCTGTGCTTATCTAATAAACATTGCACAGTTATTTATTTTAAATTATATGATTTTGCTATGAGCCTTTATAACGCATACGCATACCTGTCATATTTGTGTAAAATTAATTTCTGTTAGCAAAAATATTTTGCACAGATCTCAAAGTTCCCTAAGCGGTTGCCATTTGCCACCTCACGTGTGCGCTCATAGGCCAGTAATTTATGATGTACTCGTTATGCTTAAATGAATTTTAATGGAAATCTTTACTTTTACTTAGATAAACTGCTAAATTTGAAGGCTAGGATCTTGTTTATTTTTTATAAATTGACATGTAAGATTGCTCTCTCTCTGGATAACGATCGATCGGATTGCAGTTTAAAAAAGCTTCAGCATATATTTAACAAAAATAGTAAAATTTTTGAACGATTTTTTTTATTATTAAGTATTTTTAGGTAAATAAAAAAAAAGTCTGATTGAGCTAATTTTATAGCGATTCAAATTCGCTAATTTATAACGTTTAGGTGAAAGTTAAATATTACATGTCATTATTGTTGGAACTCATTAAACAAAAGCGTCGCCTGTATGCTATTTTTGATTCAATACAATAAACAAACAAAAAAAAAAAATAAAAGCGTCGCCACATAGACTAAATATGTAAAATGCGTCTATTGTTGTGCAGCACAATAATGCAAAAATCATATTAATAAATTCCTAAATCATGCTGCGAAAGTGTAAGTAATATAGTACACACACAAGCACATACAGACACTTAAACAATGACACAAAAGGCTGTAAAATATTCATTCGCCTCAATAAACTGACAGGCTAAGAAAAGATGTTGCCGAGAACAAAACAAAACAAAAAAAAAAAACGACAACAAAAAAAATTAATAAGAAAATAAAATGAAGAAAAGCATTGAAGTAAAATGAGAAGGATAAGTAAAATAGCAGCAAAAAAGGAAAGAAAAATGCGCCAACTAACAGCGAATATGCATTAAAAATATTACAAGCACGCCTACAAGGGCGTCAGAGGAAATCTAAGAGCCGGCCCAGTTCTGGGAAATGAAACTATGCGGCAATTATGGGCGCAGCGCGCAAATCCCATTTAAAGCATAAAGTGTTTGCGGGATATCCTAGTGGTCTTTGTGGCCGAAAGTGCCTTTAAGTGCTGACTCGACGCCCGCTCTGGCCGGGCTGCATAAACAAATAAAATTGATTAGGAAAGTGTCCGACTGTGACAGTGGGCGGGGCATGTTATCAATGAGGCTACTCGCTGGCGCTTAGCTCGTTATCAGCTGGCAATTTCATTATTTTAATGCGCTAAATGAATTATCAGACCAGGCCAGCTACCCATCAAAACAAATGGGCGTGCTACACAGCCGCTGACTGCCCCGAGATACATTTATTGATTGACTGTCAACGGCGTGTATCTGATGGATACATGAATACCAAAACCAAAACCAAAACATAAATATAAACATAAACATAAACGAGCATTCAAGTGACATATTTATTTATTTTGATTTCATGATTTATTTTTTTTGCATTATGTTCTGCAATAACACATAATATTGCCCACTGGCGCGTATCATCTGCAATTGTCGGCTATTAAATACCTGAGTATATATATTTCAAAGCTAGCACTCACCGCCATCAGTGTGGGCAGCGACATTTTGGTAAACCAGGACACATCCAGGCTAAAGCTCAGATTTGTGCGCATTATCATCATTCTGATGAGTTGTCGAAATTCACGGGATTCCTCATACCAAGTACACTCATAGAATGCCTTCGGAATGCGTTCGCTCTGCAATCAAAAAAACAAAAAGGACAAAAACAACAACAAAAGAGTTGGGCTAACGAAGGGACCTTTTCGAAAAAAAAATGTTGAACCTACGGCTGTTGTGAATCTCTGTCCATTAAAACAGTAGATGACGATTTGATAGCCACCGGCCGCGAGATACATAAACATGCGCAGCGCAGTGGTAAGACTCGAGGCCTGTTTTTAAAAAAAAAATGTTGTTTAGCCCAATTTAAGGATATTGTAAACAAAAGAGAACTGTTATTCACGGCATGCCGAAGACTAAATACCCTGCAGACATCAATAAGGCTACAAAATACCTTTTCCGATCGATTATTAAGATAGTAGAACGATTTCTATGGTAGTAGAAAAGGTAGCTTGTAATTGCATTCAGTCAATGTATCTTGAAAAATAAAAAAGCTGCACACAATTTTACTCAAAGAGCTGTATGATAAATAAGCATGGTTTAAGCTCGGAAATGCCAAGTGTGTTCAAGAAAGCTTGATAAAAAAAATGTTCTTTATTTAAGAACTAAATTTCTATGGCAGATATATACTATATTCAGCCGGACCCGAGCTATGGGTTGCCTGCAAGCGAGAGACAGACCCAAGCAAAGTTTTCAGACAATAGAATTTAAACTGAGTCACTAGTTGGCATAGAAATAGGCAGACAGACATGGCTATCGATACTGCATTACACATTTCGTGACAAAGTTCTAATACAATAGCATTAAAATAAAATGAAAGGTGGGGCGTACCAGGCCAATGCTGATTTGAAAGAGCACCAGACCCCAGCAGAAGAGGCTTAGCAGAAACTGGATAATTATAATTTCCCTAAAGCTGTTGTTGAGCTCCAAAGAAAAGCTGTCGGGTGAAAGAAAGTGGCAGCATATAAGAGATGAGCATAGTAACATAGTCTATTAGTGTATTAGGCAGAGGAAATGTCTACTTACGCTGCCACGCGCTGATATTGATAGATGCAGCAGCGTAGATACTGCAAACGACGCTCCTTCGGCACCAGCGGGGAGGTGGAACACTCAATCATGTGGCTGAGCGACTTCATGAGGCCCACGCCATGCAGGCAGAGCACGATGAAGAGCACATCGAAGCTAACGGCACCTGTTGAAGCACAAGTAAGCAAGGCAAAATGTTGATGCAACTTAATTCACTTCATTTCATGTGCCAATTGTCACCCACCCATGCCGCAAATATAGAGGTTGCAGCTCTCAAAGAACAGAGGTAGATAATAGTATGGAAAGGTCATGCCCTTGTCCATCCAATTGGGATACATCGAAGGCAGAGCTATCGTATGTTAATAAAAGTTATCCAACTATCTAACCATATTCTCAGTTGTTGTTGCACTCACGCAGCGTCACCTCAAAGTTTTTGTCGGGCTCCGTTAAGGAGTGATAGATATTGACGACTAGCGAATTGAAAAAGTAATTCAACAGGATGCCAACGCAGCTGAACAGGTAGAACATCAATTGGCGTCGCGTGCTGATCCAAGACTGATTCATGATGCCATCCACATGCTGACGCAACGGTTTTGCAATGGGCAAATCTGCAAGACAACAATGTTATAGATACATATATCAGATTCCAGTTAGTTCAGGCGTGCCAGACCATCAACAGCTTGGAATAGCTCGCAGTTTAGCAACAGCTCGTGCCGACAGGCGCAACGCAGCAGCATGTAGAATTTACGCGGCGCCATCAGAAAGTACACCATTTTCATAACGGACATCAGGGACTGGAAAACCGTGCTAATGCTCTGCAAAAATTAAACAATTTGTATGCGTTATTAACATTGCGCGGATGGGCCTGGCCAAGGCCACCTCTGAAATGCGCGGTATGTCCTGAATGTAGTGTACAATCAGCTGCCAGTGGCCATAGTACGATGCCAGAGTGCTGCCTATGAGGACCAAACTCCAGCTACCAATTAGAACAGAGAACAATATCTATAAAAAAATACAACTTGCGATTAGATTAGAATTTTGCACACAGCTTAAAAGCGTAGTCCCACGAGGTAGGCTTCATTATGTTATAGCCAACTGTATATGTGACGCGTATCATTTCTCTGATTCTGTGATAGTTGCGTTTCTCCAGAGCTTCGGCTTCATGCTGGGAATACATGTTAACTAATTGCTGGCTAACTGCTGCCATCAGGCATTTATAAACTTATTAAGGGGGCGTGGCATCGAATTCTATTAATTATGTAATACTACACACACTCGGAATAACGACAGAGAGTGTGTCACGCCCAATTACGTGTGAAGCTGCACTTAATTATTAAAGAGATACCCAAGACATTGAGGTGGTAATTAGTGCTCATCAGACATACTTTTATCAATAACCAGACGTGGTTTTTGTACAGGATTATTTCAAGCGTACTCTGTTGCAACCTGACAACCCTGAAAAGTTCTGTTAAGCTTTTCAGTCTAAAGCAGTCAAAAGCCTCGAATCAGATTCTTGTACCAGAAAAAGCTTTTGATGCAGCCTTTTGAAGCTTTAAGAAAAATGGTCGTTGGTTTTGTTGACGGTTTGAACTAGCTTTCTGCCTTTAGGTTCGGTTTGAGAAACTGCTTTTTGACATGCGGGCCTTGACTTATTATGTGACATATTTAAAACATTTTAAAGAATCAATTTAAATTTTTAGTTATTTTCGCTCGACCTAACTTACATATGGCAATTCTTCGATATTATCATATCCAAGTTGGGTCATAAAGTTGATTTCTATACCAAAATCTAGCAGGTTACCAGATAGTAAATAAAAGTATCTAATTGCAATGTTGGGGACCATTTTGAGGTTCGTTTCGACTGTTTGTTGGGCAACTGGTTTGATTTAAGGTTCGGTTAACAAATCTTCGGGAATACCAGGCTCGAACTCGTTTGATTTAAACCCAGATGAGGCCTTTTGCTACTAAAGTTATGAAAACAAAAGTTCTTTAAATTTTGCTCAATGATTTATATATTTCCATGATATTTCGCTCAATATAATTTTTAATATATTTTAATAAATTTGTTTATGTTTTTTGTGTTTTTATTCCCAACGATTTAGCTTATGCTTTTTGTTTTGGTTTTTCGTAATGGTATTCATTTTCGCTGATTTTCAATCGCCGTTGACAGACTACTTTAAAATGTACATATCGTTTACTAATAATTTAAATATAATAATTAATATTACATAATAACATTTTGCGTTTGCTGTTGTTGTTTTTGTTGTTGTTGTTGCAGTTGCAGCTTATCGATGCATTAACAGCTGCAGCTCTTAAAAAATAATTTAGAAAAATAGTAACAATTTCAAACCGAAACGATTTTTGTATAAAAATTGCAGTGCCATTTGTTCTTACTTTTGTTTTTTAATTTACAAATATTTTTTCTTTCTTGTAAATAAGGACTATGCTGAGAAACGGCGCGTTTTTGTGGTTGTGTGTGAAACAAATATTTACAAAAGTTTTCAGGCTGCTTAATTACTTTATTTTATATTTATTTTTAATTACAAATTAACTGGAATGTGGCCTGCGCTCACCAAAAATTGTGTAGAAAATTCCAAATGAATTGCTTACAAAATTTGGTTGCATTAAGCATTTTAATATAATTCCATTGTTTTTAACTATTTGCATACATACTTTGAATCGAATTTTTGGCTTTAATTTATTTAATTCGTTACTAGTTAAGTTTTCATCTTCTCTTAGGGCTTAAAGTTGAAAAAGCGGACGTTAAGATTGTTGGCTTCTCATAATAAAATTTCTGTGAATTTACAAAGTATGCGTGTATGCGGGTGTGTGTGCATGTTATCACAACGTATGCATGTGTGTGTGAGTGAGCGAATTCGTATTCCTTTACTGATATGTTTCTAAGAGGCTAATTTGCATTTGATTTTTATCCAATATTTCGCTTTCTGCACGTTTGATTTAGTTGTTAGGTTCTTTAGACTCGTAAAATTACAACCAATCGTACCTAACAAAATGATGTTGGACACATCGAGGCTTGAAATATTCTGTATCTGTTTCTGCGCTTCATTATAGTAGCTTATTAAATTTAATTAAATTTATTTATTTATCTTGAATTTACTTTAGACGCTGGCCTGTGTTATACTATATATGATAATATCTGTAGGAATAATCTTTAAATATTTAATAAATGCTTGAATTTATTGGTTTAGCGTAAAAATTTGCTTGCATTAATACTTGATTTTTTTAGCTGTTTTATTTTCTGGTAGAAACTCGTCTGATGACCATGCGAAATGCCTTGAATATTATCAAATGCTTTTTATAGATGCGAATTCAATTAATTTACCAACAATTTTAAGGCTCTGCTCTTTCATAATACATTCATAACATACCATATCCAAATACCAATTATCCATAACAATACACACATTTTGGAATGTTTTGGGCACAACTTAGAGGGGCTCACATAGAAACACACAATCATTTGATACTTAAATAATTGACTAAATATATTTTTAATGGGATTATGCGGGAAACTATTTTTGTTGAAACCTAACGAAAACTAAAGTTCTTTTATATATTGCTTATGTGTGTGTAATTGAAACGGAAAGAAACTCGCACCAAAATCGTTTGCTCACATTAATTCTAAGTGCTTATACTGAAACAAGAGACACGACCAAATACTATACTATAATTTTACGAATAGTTTTGTAACTTTTGAAGTACCTGTTTAACTTTGAACTAACACACGAGAAGCACACATATAAAAAAGCTGAGACTGGCTGCGACTAGCGCACAAAATATCACTATGCAGCATCTCAACAAATAAACAAAAAATATAGAAAACCTCTTTCATATTTCATTTTATGTTTAACGTTGACTACTACAGCAAAACTTATTTTAGTGAATTACGTACATTCCATACCTCTAATACGATAGCTACTTTATATAAGCGAAAATAAAAACGAGAGGTTTCCTCTGGTTGTCAGTTAATAGATGAATATTCTTTGAAAATTTAAAAAGTTTGAACGAAATCAATTACCAGACTTGTCACTTAGAGATGAGCCCCATTCGCATTATTCTTACTAAGATCTACGTTATTTATCAAATATTTTGGGACTTAGTTGGGGGCGAAACAAAGCACTAACAAGAAGCCTTACCCTTACACATACATATAAACGAACATTTGCGTAACGATTTTAACTACTTTTGTTTTATGAATTCTCGATCAATTTATCTAGCTTGTATGTATATGATGTACATGGATCTGTTGTTAATATTTATATATCATACATTAAACGGATGTCTTTTGTTGCGTGCTTTGAGAGAAAAATATTATGTTACTCTTTTTTTTTCTTTTTTACATGCAAATATGCCGCGAATTGTGTTTACATTGGGTGTATAAATATTATTGTATATGTACGTGAATGTGTATATATAAGTTGCATTTAAAATATGTTATTTAATTTGTTTTCTTCACTATTTTATTCGACATTTTAGGCTTTTATGGTGATTTCGTCTATATGCTGTAAGCTGTAAATAAATGTTGCACTTATTTTTTGTTTTCTTGCATTTACAATAGATTAGCATTAGCTTAGGATTCTATTTACATGTAAAATGTATTTTTTGTTTAGTAATCTTTGGGTTTTCTGTTTGGTATGTTTAAATTACGGGATTCTTTCATATACATAAGGATTCATTTTTATTTGTACGGCATGCGCGGCATCGCAACGATTTGCATTTTGTATTTGTTTTTTATTTTTTTTGCATTTTATATTTTATTTAGTTTTTTTGTATATTTTTTTTTAGAGTTTGGTGTATTTGGGTGTTTTGTTCGTTTCAGTTTCCGCTTGAGTTTTGTAAAAAATATTCCACTTCAACGCTCTTCATCTGCATTTCAAATTAGACTAGGATACTGTTCATTGCTTTTATATAATTCACATTCCATTTTCGCTAAGTTTGCTATCACTTTGAGTTTTTCTTTGTATTTTTGTTTTGATTTTTTTTGTGTTGGATTCTCCATAGGTTTTTAACTACTAAGCGCTCTTGGTGTCTTTGTGTGTGTGTGTTTGTGTTTTGACTATTGCTACGTGGCCCCACCGCCTGCACCCGTGCCACCGTTTCCGCCGCCACCGTCACTCTTGGCCGGCGGGTCATCTGCATTTTGCGGTTGCAGCAGCGCTCGCTGTTCATCGTTGGCCTCGCTTTCGCCGCCTTCCATTTCCACTTCCGCTTCCGCTTCGCCATCGCCATTGGCTTTGTCCTGTGTCTCGCTGGGCGGGTCCAGGGCCGGTGCCTGCTTAACCGGAGAGGTAAAAGTCGTCTCGGAATCTATGGATTCAGGGCAGAGAGCAAACTATTAAAATCGGTGTGGCATAAGAATATATATTAAATAAGTGCTACAATAAAAATAATGCTGTACAGAAAGCGGTTGCGTGTGTGTGAGTGTGGTGTGTTTAGAGGCCAACTGCTACAGCTTCACATAGATATTGACATAAGGACTACAGCTGGTGCAGGTCGATGGCGAACCAAGCTAACAACCGCTTGATAACGAGACTACGACTCGGGTGTACGAGGTGTGATTGCAGAAGTTGGTGCTAAAATGGCTTAGTATATATATAAGTATATATATTCCAGGATCCGTGTGGCTTCGACATCTTGTGTGTGAATCGTAACTAATTAATTGCTCGCCTTGCCTGCATTTTGTGAATCCTTCAGTGTGTCTAACTGTGTCTGTGGGTGGGTTTTGTGTTGGGTTAATCAGGTTATTCAGAATGCGGCGTCGAAGACGGTAACTATGGAGACGAAGTTGAGCGGCGCGTTTGATGATAGAGCGAGAGAGAATAGAACAGAATAGTTGTTGTTGTTGTTGATGTTTTTGGGTATTCACAGCCAAATGTCTGGATTACTCAGTGATGTACTCAATATGAGAGTGGATTGCCTAGTAAAATACGAATTTGAACCTACCCAGACTGCTGTCCCCCGTCTGACTCGGATCATAGCGGCCATCGGCCGATATCTGTGCAGCGGCCGAGGAGCGCGAGAGAACGGGCTTAACCTGGCGCAGTGCCTGCTCCTCGGGATAGCGCGGAGTTTGGAACTTGGTTGGCTTCGATTGCAACGTCGCAGGTCCTGAGCGTTGGTGTATTAGGGAGCGATGCCTAAGGGGTGGTGGGGATACAGACTTAGCTAAAACTGAATGAGGTAATTTATTCGGTGAGTAATCGCTGCCAGATTCACCCTGCAATTCAATTCAATTGAGAAAAATGGTGATTTATATATATTATTATATATATATACCATGACGGTGCCATTGTCAGACACGCCCGAGCCTGACATATTGTCCGCCAACAGACGTTCGCTCTCGGGATCGGACAGCACGCGTGAGACATCAGACTTGTTTTTCAGTATCGACTTGGAGCGTCTGTGATGCTCCAGATTCGGCGATGCATCAATCGAGTCTATCGATGAGGAATGCTTGCTCTCAAATTTGGCTGAAAGTAAGCAGTAAACAGCAGTTGGGCAAAATAAATTCAGATCTTTGTTAAGTGAGACTCACCTTTGGCGCCCGCATTCTGAATGCCGAACAGACGCTGATTGATCAGTTTGGTGGCAGTGGCTAAGCTCTTGCCCGGCAGAAAGGCCGAACGCTTCTTCTTGCTGCCGACAGCGGCAGCGCTGCTGCTGGCTGTTGCTGGACCGGCGGCACCGCCGTCCAATCTCACAATGTCCTCGCACAGCATGGTGTCTTCAAAACGGGCACGTGGCCTGCTGCTGCTTGTGCTGGGTCGCATGGACGTGAAGCTCTGCTGGAAACGCGTCTTGCGATGCTTTGGCACTGAGTTCTCGTTCAGGCTGACACGGCTGCCGCGCTCCTGCACGTCAAAGTTCTGATACACATCATCCAGCGGACTGATGCCGCCCGCGGCCAGATTCCGCAGTGCCGTATCTCCCGAAGCGCTCTTCTTCACTTGAGCCCGCATTGTTAGGCCGGAGGCGGAAATTGTGGGCGGCAGGCCAACAATAAAGCCCGTGGAGCTGCTGATGTTTGTGCCGCGGCACGACTCCTTCTCCAGCGGATTTATATACAGATTATCCATGTCAATGTCCAAGGCGCAGGCCTCATCGTTGAAGTCGGCAGTGAGATCGCCTTGGGACAGAAACGGATGCGTCTGGCAGCTGGCGTACGTGTCCGAGCTGTCGACGCTAGCTAGATCTGCGTTGTTGTTATTGTTGTTGCTGCTGCTGATGCCACCGTAGTTTCCATTGCCAAACAGCAGCACGCCATTGGCCACGCCCCCAGCGCCGACAGTTGTCGTGTTGAAGTTGTTGTTGTAGTTGTGATTGAAATTGCTTGCAATGGGCGCTGCATAGCCCCGCGTTGCATCCAGCGGCAGTGCAATGGTCGTGGATGTTGTCGTGCCATATGAGGATGACGCCGACGATGACTGTGAAATGATGGGCATAATGCTGGCACTGGTATAGACGGGCAACAGCACCACATCCCCGCGAGCCGTCAGCTGCAGCGGATGTGGGGCTCTGGATGCTGGTAGTGGCAGACCAAACTGATTGGCTTGGCGATTGGCCGCCGCCATGCGCATCTCGAGGCAGATGGGCTTGTGGAAGTCGGAAGTTGGAAGTGAGATGACGCCCTCCGCATCGGTGTACTCCTTTAAGTCCTGCAAGGCAGAAAGTGTGTGGGACGCATGATGAATGTGATTTAATTATGACGAGGCCAGGCCCAGTACCTTAGAAATCGTTGTTATTTTGATTATTATTATAATTATTATGATGTTTTTTTTTTTTTGCATTATTTCGGTAAATGTTGTGCACTTGGTATTGCTGAAAAATTGTTGTTGGTTCTCAAGAGCATTCAACATGCAACTAAAATGCATCAAGTTAAGGTCAAACGTGCAGCGCTGGATTTTGAATTTAGTTTTGGGTTAAAAAGAAGTTCCAAACGAAAAAAAAACCCAAAAATATTTAAATAAATAAATACAAGAAATAAAGGAAAATTAAATTAAAGAGCTTTGTTACTTACCCAATGTCGACATTGTGCTCGAGGGATTCCCAGCTCTCAATGTTTATACAACAAAAAGCAGAAAAATAATAATAATAGTTCTAACAGAAAAGAAAGGATAATTTGAATTGGAAAGTTTTTCTAGGCTAGCAATACGAAAAGAATCGGTAGAAGTTGAGTGCCAATAGAATAGTGCTAATTAAATGTTGAAATCGATAATCAATTGTTTTATTTATTGCAGTTTTTTTTGTTGTTGCTTCAATAACAATATATCAAATAATTAATTAATTCAATTTTATATATAGTTTTGTTTTTTGTTTCATATTATTTTGTTTTTTTATTTTTGCTACTAACAAACGATTTATTAAAAACTAGCTCTAATAATTATGTGCTTAGTGTAAAAAAGAATTGTTTGAAACTCATCTCAAGGCCTTAAGTTTAAACACTCGATAGATAATATATATGTATATAGATAATAGATAATAGATAATAACACATGCTGCTTTCGGGTTTCCTTTGTTTATTTGTGTGTGGAGTTAAAATAAATTAATTAAATTCTTAGAATTTGCTATGTCTTTGTTTAGCTTTCACGTTACTCACGATTATAATAGTAATAATAATAATCAATTTAATTAAGTTTTAACTTGTGTTTAAAATTAAAGCTAATTAACTTGTTTTTCTTTTTGTAATTTCAATAGTAATTCTTCTTAGTTTGTTTGTGGTTTTATATCATTTAGTGTGTTTTGCAATTCGTTGAGTTAAATTTAAAATTTGATCATTGGGTGTAGCGGGTGTGTGTGTGAGAGTGTGTGTGAGTGTGTATTCTTAGTTCTCGTTGCTATTTATTGATTGACAGCCAATGTCAATCGAATCTGTCATGCTCTAAATAAATTGTTTCTAAACGCTATTCGCACGCAATGGAATACACTCGCCTTGACATCCTGGCAAACCCTTTAAGTAAAAGAAATGAAAAAGAAACAAAGTCAACATAAAATGCCATATATCTCGACTGTGCTCTGCTGCACACACAAATCATTTTTAAAATAATATGGAATAGAAATCATAAAGCACAATACACGATCTTCACTTCACTTGGACACTGGGACACTTGGGTGCAGCCTTTACCATCATGTTCATAAACAGAATCAATATCCGATTCGGAATCACAGATAATATATATCGATAGTGCCCTCCTCGATCATGCGTTTCAGAGCCAGATAATTTTTTGGCGATGGCGGCGGTCGCGCCAGCCTCTTGATGCTATACTCCCTGTCGTGAAAGACACAAATGCGATCCTGCAATATTTACACAGTCCTCTTCAATTTAACACAATTATACACAATTATATACAGGCTGCGGGTAGCTACTTGGGATCTATTTGCTCGCTACGTTTGAGAGCATTTTAAATGCAGTATACGGGTCCTATGCCAAGCATGATCTAATAAAGTATGTATATATACTCCAAATACGTAGCAGGCCAACTGTTGGAACTGTTCTTAAGGCCACGCCTTTTGAGTTATCATTTAGATGATTTGCGTGTTATCTGTTAGTTTGTTAGTTAAAACAAAAGACAAAGAACTGGTGCAAGTGCAGTTAAAATACTCGTTGGTGCCAGTAAATATTATATATAAATATTATGTGAGTAAAGCATGCGGATTATACAGAAAGCAGAGGTTAAGAGCTGGTGGATGTCAGATACAAATATTAGCTCTGGTCAGGGATAGATAAATCGATTGTCTTGGTTGTCGATTTTACCTTGGTTGTGCAGAAGCAGCATTCGAATTCCACTGGCACATCCTGCTCCAGATTGTCCATGCGTTGGTTTTGCAGGTTCTCGAGCGCCACCTGGCGGCGCAACTCGGCCACTTCCTATAAGTAGGGTTTAGGGTTTTTGCAAAGTGTCAATGCATAAATCGAAATACAACGAAAATACGAAATATTCACAAGACATGCAGCATACACGTAATGCTAATTAGATAGTTAAAATTCATTATTTACAGTATTTATTCAAGTAGCTCAATTTAATATTTTACAAATTCTCATGCGCATGCCGACAAAATCCCACAGCGTTTGAGTAGCAAACTTGTGCGTTGCAACATCAAAATCCTTTTGTGGAGATTCGCGAAAATGTGTGATGATTGTATAGTTGAAGGTTTATTGTTGGGTCGGGTCTAGAGTCTAGCCAAAAACTGAGTTATTCTACAATTGACAGTCAGCCTGGAATCGAATGTCGAGACAAACATTTTAAAACTTTTCCTCAAAAAGCTAAATGATCTGCTCTAAATGTGCTCTAAATGCGCTTAAGCAATCTGCTTTGGATTGGTAAGTGTCCTGTATTCTGTCTGGGCGCCAGACATTAGAAACCACAATAAATGTCATATTGTCCAACGTACAGTTGCACTGTTTATCGTCTTACGTGCAGGCCATACTCGCCAGCAGCCCAGAATGATTGGAAAGCGCGACGAACCGCATCAGAGCCAGGATTACGAATATGTTGACGCCAATTTTGATGATCAATTAAAGCGCTTGGGCCAGTACAGCCTAAAGAGCTGTGATGCGCCGGAAGACGAGGGTGGGTTTATTTCCTGCACAACTTAGCATTCCATTTTTACTGCCATGCTCCACAGCGGTTCAGGGCTGCACCCCGTGCGAAACATGGCCACAGCCCAATATGCCAAGCAGCTGTGATTCCTTTGAGCCGCCATGTACAACAACGTGTCAGCCGAATTATCCGCCCACACCGCATCCCAATTCCAATTGTGATAATTTGCAGCAACCAAACCAGAATTCTGGCATGCCACAGCAGCAGTCACAGCAACAGCAGCAGCAACAACAACAACAATATCCACAGCAGCAACAACAATATCCTCAGCAGCAGCAACAATATCCCCAGCAGCAGCAGCAATACCCACAGCAGCAGGATCCGTACGCGCCGGCTGAGGCTGATGACTCCGAGCAGCGGAGCAAGGAGCTGCGCAAGTTGGTGCAGCATTTGTATGTGGCACAGGCGCGCGTTCAGCTAGAAGCGTCTGAGATTCACAAGGCCCAGGCCGTGGCCAGCTCGGCGCAATCGCAACTCGAAGATTCGGCGAATCATGTGCGCACCATTACCGCAACCCTGCACAATGCGCAGCAGGAGGTGGCCGCCGCCGCCATACGTGCCCAGATCGCCCAGCTGCAGCTGGCGGCGCACGATCAGTTGCTCTTCGCTGCCCGCCAGGATGTCGATTCGCTTTCCTCGCAAGTGGTCGGCCTGCAGGCGGCCGAGGGTATTGTGCAGCCCAAGTTGACTGTCGATCTGCATGCGCTTCTTGACAAGCTGCGACAGCCGCTGCAGCACTTCGACCGGCCCACGCCGGTGCCCATGATAATCACATTGCCGCCGCTGAACGGAGCGCCGCCTGAAACGGCGCCCGAAACAGATACCTCTAGCATTGGCATTGTTGGTGGTATTGGTCGTAGTATTGGTAGTGGTATTGGTAGTGCTGTTGGTATTGGTGTTGCTATTGGTAGTGGTAGTGACGGTACAGACGTCCGCACCAAAAGCAAGGATCTCGTGAAACAGAAGGAACCTGCGCAGTTCGCACAAAGCATGGACTACACATAGTTAATGCACCCACTCGTTAATCATATTCATCATATATATATATATATTTTATACGATTTTGTCAGTTCAATATTGTCAATGAGATATATTTCCTTCTAACTACGAATGTGCGTGTCTGTTCTGCTTGTGAGTTTATGTTGGGTTCGCTTTAGATTGTAAAGAATGGATGGAATGTCATAAGTAGCTGCTGCAGTAAATACTTAGATATAGATGAGACAACAAAAGGAATTCAAAGGAAATAATATGTTGAAACTTTATCAACTATAAATATTGAAGTTTATATTAATAATTATCAAGGCTGCAAGCCTTTGGTTGTTCCACGGTTCCATAGAATTCCTTGCCCTAAGGTTCGATTTGAACCTGGTTTCACGCTTCTCGCTTCTAAATCAGTTTGCAGCCTTGATTAATATACGAAGTCTTCGGGTGAAATTTTATAAAAAGCTATGTAGTAGACATATTGAAAACCTTAAGCGATCACAAGGAATTTCAATTTTCTTTTAAGATTTAGTGAATCGATTGATTAATATATGTGTTAAAAAAAAGTTGCAAGCTCTTGTTTGTATATACATATTTACAAAATTGAGTTATTTATTTAAAGATACAATAGAAATTAAATGAAATATTTTATGAAAGCTTTCTCATAAATCTATCTATCAAAACTATACTCTATATTGCATATATGCTTCCAATTATTCTTATGGCTTCGAGATAAAAACTTGCTGGAAGCCATCTTCTATATTTCTAAGAATATTTTACTTCTGCTTCGATCAGGATCTGGCTTCCAATAGCTTATTGTGTATTAAATAATTATGTGTATATGCATAGAGTAGAAGCGAAAAGTTAAACAAGACAGGTTCAATAAACTTATAAAGTAAAATATAAACTGAATTATAGAAGTACTTATGCAAATTTGTTAAGCATTCTAGCAGTTGAAATGCGCTCTTATGGAGAGCTTGGAGACATTCTCAAAATGCAAATATTGGAGCTCGAATTTGGAGTTCATATTATTATTTTCCAAAGAAAAGTAAAGAAAATAAAAGTTTAGCAGTATGTTCAGCCTCTGAAAATCAATTTGTTGGAAATTAATAATTCTTTTTATCTTTATTTTTAAATAGAATTAAAAATTCTATAGATATTAAAGAGTAGCAGTGGCAAGTAGTATGCATTAGAGTAGAGTATTTTGAGTTCTTTGTGTATACTTTGAATGTACCTCCTTACTGCGTCCCCGTAAAATCTAAAAGTTGAAATGTGTTGTTGTTGTTATCGAACTTTGTTTATATAAGTAGCTAGCTCTTGCATGTAAGTAAGTGATTAAGTTTTTAGTTAATGTTTTTTGAGATCGTGTATAAAGTAAATTATAAAACATCAAACATGAAGCAAAATTCAACCAGACTCAAAAATTAACAAATTCTTGACCAATTCGACACAACAAAAGTTGAACTAAAATCAATGCTGGGCGTAACCAGCCGGGGCTTGAAGTTGGTTTTTTTAGTTTTGTAAAAAATTCAAGAGTTGTAAACCAAACGGATGTTGTAAAATATGTGATAAGTGTACTGTTTACAATAGTTGAAATATTTAGCTCCAGTTAACGGCTTCACATTTACTAATACATAGTTACGGTTTAAGAACTTTGAAAACATTAAGATATATTTAAGATATACGAGCACTTGGCTGGGACTACACACTTATTCGGTATTCCCCAATCCCGACACCCACACTTACCCCGGGCGTTATCATCATCTGTATGGGCAATCCCTTCTGGTTTGACGCTATGGTCATCGCATCCTCCCCCTGCGACGAGGAGGCTGCTCCTCCGCTCTCCTGGGCAGCACTGCTGGAGGTGGCCACCGCTGTTGCTGCACTGGCGGCAGCCACCATGGCTAGATTGTTGGCTACTCCGACGACAGGCAGCTGCCCAGCTGGTTGCAGCTTCTGTTGTTGTTGTTGTTGCTGCTGCTGTTGCTGCTGTGTCAGAAGCAGTGCCTGCTGCTCACGCCTGTAGCTTTCCATGGCCATCATTGAGGTCTGCCTGGCATTTGGATTGTCAAAGCTGTAAGGCGGTACCGCATCCTGCTCAGAGCTGGAGCCGCGACGCTGCGTGAAAGTAGCAAAAAAGTTAATTTGACTCAGTTATATCAGGCCATATTGTTTTGCTATCTGTAATCGAAAGTTCTGTATATCCTTGTTGATGGTTTCCCATTCCCATAACAACTAATACCTTTTTTTGGTTACGGCTTGTGGAGCTAAAATCATTCACTTTATTTTAATTCTTTTAAGATATTTAATTGTTTGACTTTTTACGTGATAAAAATTATGAAATATTGCCTTTTGTGGTTTGAACCTCAATATCCACGTCCATAAGCCAAGTTAAGTCCTAACAAATTTTTTGTTATAAGAGTCGTGAAGATGAAAAATATCGCTTAGTTCCGATTTAGTCATTTTTTGAGCAACTGTTTTCGTTTCAGGTTTTTTCATAGTTAAACGTATACAGGAAATCCGGGTATGAACTAGTTCGGTTTAAAACTGGTTTCCTAATGTTGGAAAAAGTTAAATAACCTTTCTTCAAAATATAAAAATTTAAGAAAATATTTAGAAAATAGCAGAAATTTTGTTTGAAAATTTAGAAGTGTGTTCAATTTCCCAAAATTTAGGAAAATGTATTTTTCAGTGGAGGCTTAAAATTTTCTTTCACATTTTTAATGTTTTATTTTAATTTTTTAATTTTAATTTAACAAGAGATATTTGAAGACCGTCATAAACCAAAGGGTTTCCCATTTTCAAAACAAGATGTTATATAATTTTAAATGATCTCCCATTTTTCAATTATGTCTTAATTGAAGAATTCTTTAATAAAATGTAGAAACAGTTTTCTTTCAGTGTAGGTAAATAATTTAATATTGTAACATCGCTACCATTAAAGTTGACTATATAATGTGAAGGTAATCATTTATCAAATATGCATAAAAATTTGTTATTACCTTGAATGCAGGGTATTCATTTAGTTGGGCATAGAGAAATCACTTACGTTCTGCATATTCGAGTTGCGTAGATTGGCAACGTGCTCGTAGTTCTTGTAACAGCCAGTGCCAGTGGTTGCCGGATTTCGACCGCTGGTCGATTCCCCCTCGGTGCTGTTGCCATCCCCATCCGTTTGGGAGAGATTGTGTCCTGTGGGCGATCGGCGTAGCGCGTGGGTTAAACGGTGCCAATTTTTTAGCGATCGTGTGTGGCTTTCGCGCTTTTCTGCATTGCATGTGCGTGTGTGTATAGGTGGGTGTGGGTGTGTGTGTGTGTGTGTGTGTGTGTCGGAGTGGATGTATATAAGTGTGTTTTCATCGCGACACGTTAGTTTCGTGTCATTGTGGTTATTGTTGTTGTTGTTTTTGTTGTCGTTGGTAGCACGCGGAAAAAGCCATGAATGCATTTTGTCGCAATTTTGAAAACATTTTGTTTTTATTTTTATTTTGTTGTTCGCATTTGTTTAGCCATTTTGCGCCATGTTTGGAAGTTTTGTTTTATTTGTGATTTGGGTAGAGAATTTTGGGTTTCGTTTGTTTGTTGTTGTTGAGAGCGTAAATGAGACGAAATTCAAATTAAATGGAAAAAAGGAATAAAAGAAAGAGATATGCACTTTATGAATGTCGTTATACGATTATGTTTGTATGGTTATGGGTTATGCTATTGTTGTTGAAACGATTAGTTTTAACGACAACGACGACGACGACGATGGCGACGGCGATGATAGTTAAAATGACGACGATCAATAGCTTTCACGATAACAAGTATTTTAGTAGTTAGATACATTAAGGAACAACATTGAACGGTCAACAACTGGGAGTATAGTACGACGATAATATGTAGTATGTATAGCTAGGTATGTCAATATGTATATAGATAGCTAAATGCCCAAATACGGCTTTATTAAGGATACAAATTTTATATTTATTTTAAGTTAGTACGTACTTGATGAGTGTGGGTGAGTGTGAGTGTGTTTTAGCACAACATTTACTTTAATAGTGGCACTAGTAACAATTAACAGTGAGCTATTGAGTGGCTAATTAGGTATGTTAGTTAGCACAACAAAAAACAGACAACGGCTAGCGTACAGAGCTTAGCAAATATACCCAATTAGGTTATCAAATAGTTTATTTTTAACAAAATAAAAATATTGTTAAAAGACTTTTATCCAGAATTAGTTGAATTATTAGAATCAATCGAGCATTTGCTCAGTATTTTCACTCGTCTCGAAAAAAACGTTGCTGTGGCAATAAAATTTGTACCTCTCTCTAGGTTCTCGGCTGCCTGATTATATGATAAAAATGAGCGAATGTTAGATTTGGGAATTTAAATTAAGAAGAATATGAAGATGATTTATTTTTCTTTATTGTTTTTCTGGATGAGTTGCTCTAACACAATCGGCAAAACAAATGTACGAGACAGGCTCATTTTGTATGTATGACAATTATTTATACATAGTTATAGACAATAACTGACACTGCTGAACAAAAGCACATTTCATGGTCATTTACGCAATCTGATGTTTCAGTTCTAATGGCAAAAATGCAAAACAATAAAACATGATGAGCACAAGTTCTTTCACCAGGTAAATGAAAAGCAGTTAAGAAATGGGATTTGGTGTTCTTGGTTTTTTCCGACTTTTTTAATGTAAAAGATTTCATACGAGAAAAATAATATTAATATATAATTTGGATTTTCGAAGCAGTTAAAACTCTTTCCTGGTCTTTTCGAGTAAATGAAAGGTTTAGATTATTTAAGCAATTATTTAATTGTTTACCTTTTCATTGGTACAGGCTAAATTCAAGGCTTGACAAAGGCACACAGTTAAAGCAAATAATGATATGTATTTTAAAGGGCTTTTTGTCAAGCATTAAACACATCTTTAAATATCGTTAATGCAGTCATATAAGTAGTTAGATGATAAGTACATACGATATAGGGTGTTGTTAAATGAAATACAGCGTATTAGATTTTGGTTTTATTGCTAATTCACAGACACACAATAGTTGACAGTTTACAATAGTACAGATACAAAATACACAAAATGTATGAGTGTACAGACACAAGAATTTTGGATAAATACGAGTAATAATAATTATATATATATGTAGGCATGTTGTTGTTGTTGTTTATACACACGGCTTGAGCATTAGGAGCGTAGAGTTTCTATTCGAATTTGATGTATGCAGATAGTTGATAGATATATAGATGCATGCAGCGTTTTTGCGAGCAGATATCTTAGTTACAAAACTCTACTCTCTGACGCATTGAGTTTAGGAGCGTACAGAAGAATATAAAGACAAAATAAAGAAATGGGTACACACATACACTGGACGAAAGTATAAACGAGTCTGGAAGTAAAAGGCACGTAAAAGGCTTTTGTCGCTTGAAGCATTGTTTTCAAGGTTTTCATAATCCTATCCGATATTTAACTATGCAATTTTGAACTGTGCACAATGATAGAAATATTTGAACAATATACACATATTGTATTCAATTTAATTGCAATGCAAATCAACAGAAATTTGTAACTATTTTGAACTGAAATCATAGAAAAAAATGACGAAATATTAAGTCGTTTAGTTAGTTTGTTTTTTCATTAATGGGCTTTATATATTTTGTATAACTTCATTTAACTGCTCAGCGCGTTTAGCTTAGATCTACAATTATTTCAACACTTAACAAAATTTCATTTTTATTCTGCTCGTTACATGCTCTGCAACTGCTATGGATAAATAGTCTTACGAGTACACATCGAGTTTATTGTTTCATTTAAATGAAACATAAAAACATTTTGTTGCTGCAAACTAAGCGCGTTATGCTTTAAATAAGGCATTTTATTTTTATATATACTTGCTTTTTATTTATTTATTTTTCGGTTTTTTTTGGGCTTTTTATTCTGAAGTTTACCTATGCATTGTTAGGAACATTCTGCCATAATTTGCTAAGTTTTAATTGATAAATATGTTGAATATATGTTTACCTACATACAATTTTGATGTCCACAATGTGCGTGGCGCGCTCACTAAATTATAAACTAAGCTTAATCTCTTTAAGCTACAACAACTAATTTCATAAATAAGGCTGGCTTTTGCATAAATGTGGCCGGATCATTGAGCCCATATAACGCTGGCCCAGGATCTCAGTACTACAGTTAGATAGTTTTCTTTCTAAGCTGCATTCAATTTTGGAGGGATTCTTAATTTATGCCCCTGCAGGTCTGTCTCTTTTGTCTGTCCCCATTTCCAATTTCAGTGCTAAGAGATTACAAGATTTTAGAATATATTTGACGAAATACACATGTCTTAAAGTTGAGGGCGTTATTGGAATTTAGATATAATGAACTATCCAAATGTTGCCTGCAAGGGTATAAAAGCTTCGGAGTGGCCGAAATGGTTGTATTTTACGCTTTTTGTTTTTATCACTTTTGACTATTGTGCTCAACAAATGCTAGGGAAGTTCAGTTTCGCTAGATATAGGCCTAGTTAATAGCTACGTTTATACTAAATTAAAATTGTGCTTACGCGGATTGTTTTCAACGTTCTCTTTTGACGCGTTTGGCGTGTTGTGTTAGTATTGGGAATGGGAACAGTGCTCTTGGTCCCACACTCCATTCAAGTTAGCCACATACACACAAAGCCACGCTACCAAGCCACGTTTCCACTGTGCTGCAAATGCGATGCAGTGGAAACGTGTAAATATTAGAAATAATACCACACAATGGTGTGTTTGAGAGCTCTTGAAAGTTTTGCTTAGTTTAAATGTAAGGCAAAACAAAATAGTTGTATTTAAAAGAAAATGCATAAATAGGCAGCAAATTAAATCAAATGGTAACATCAGCAAATTTGAGCAGATGCGACACCGAATGAATTGTGTTGTCGATGTGACAAAATCGACACAGTTTTATATTTGTTTTTTTCTAAGACATTTCAATAATATTTTCAAGTGCTGATGGCATTTAGTTTTAAGACAAAAACGCATTACGGCAATTAACAAAACTTTCAATTTAGCGCACAGTTGAAAGAGAAATCTTCTCACGAGCTGCGCACTCGCAACGCTGCGAGTTGGCAACGTTGCGTATGCGCAATGTGGCAGGTTTTTCAAGCAGCGGCATATGTGTGTATGAGCTAGTGTATGTGTGTGTGTGTGTGTCTGTGTGTGGCAGGTTGTATGCTAGTCGAAATGTATATATCTGTATTCAGTGTGTTCGTATGTTTAGGGCGCCTAAAAGCAGTTATATATAATCACAACATTTAATTTCGATAGCCTCGCTTAAACGGAAGTACATCAAGTAATTCATTTTGATTGGAGTTTTCACCTTTAAACAGCAAACGGCCAATTGGAAGCCAATGTCTATATAGCTAGCACTAACTATGAACAGTGAACCGGATACTGGATTTTACTGTAGGAGTAGCTTGTAGGAAGTACTTGGTTGCTCGCATACACATATACAATAACAATTCGTTTACAGTTTTTGCCTAAGACTAAGTTGTGTGTGTGTGTGTGTGCGGGTGTGTTTTGTGTGTGTGTGTGTCGAATGTATGTATGTGGGGTGTCTTTTTCTTTAGTTGGTACATAACAAGTTGCATTGTCTAATTTACATTTACAATAACAGTTTAGCTTTACGATACTCTTCTACTAGTTATTTTAGGTTAAGTGTAAGATGGGGGGGCTCTGCTCGGCTCTGCCCGGGTTCGCCCTGTGGTCTGTAGGGTATCGGTTGTTGTTGCTGTGGTTGCGCGCTCGGGCAGCTGCTCTCTGTCTGCTCTAACGACTGTCCTCGTTGTCACTGGAGCTGTTCTGCTGTTGGGTGTCGCGCTCCTCTAACAAACTGCGATTCAGCTCCTGTATGCGAGCGGACAAAGCCCGACGACGGGGCGTGCCGAAGGAGGGCAAGGGCGGAGGCTCAATCAGCGTATTTTTCTCGCCTGGAGGTCGTGGTTAGTATCGCGGTTTTGGTAAGAAAGTTGTTTTTGTGGTTAGAAACGGTTTTTATATGTTGACCAGGGTGCAGGGGTAAAAGTGTGAGCATGTGTGTGTGTGTGTGTGTGTGACGGAAGATTTAGGTTTTTGGTGACATCGAACGACATCGCGTCGAGATTTAGTTTTGGGAATATTTTGGTTCAAGTTAACATTGTGTGAGAAAAGTAGAAAAAGAAGAGCAGAGAAAAGAACAGGTTGTAGGTATAAATTGAAGCTCAGTTGTTACTTCAGATTTAAATTCAGATTCAAGGATAGACTTATTTTTTTGTTTTGGAATCGTATTTTTTATATATCTTTTTCGTTATTTTTCTTGGATAGGTATACAAATTTTGTTGGTTTGTTGGGCGTATGCATAAATAACTCTATCCCAGGGTTTTTTTCGCTTTTTTTCTAGTTTCATTTGCTAAATTAAAAACTACAATTTTCTAAGAGGATGAATATATAATATGCATGTATATATGATTTATGTAATCAGCACTTGAAAATTCACTAAAATGTACTTAAAAATTTATAATTGTTTTTTATTTTTTTTTGTTTTTCATATATATATTTTATTACTTTTGTTTGTATTTTGTTTTTGTATACTGTAATAAAATTCGAAATAGCAACTCTATATTGAACATTCAAATTTGCTATGTAAAATTGTGATAATAAGTGTTTATAACTATGAAAATCAAGCTCAGCATTTGATTTTAATCGCCTGGTTGTACAAACGAACTTATAAACAATTTTGTCTCAGCGGCATATGAAATAATTCGAAACTTATTTATGAGTAAAGCAAATTTACGTTTAATGCAAACTTAAATTAACAATGCAACCAATTTTAGAGCATGTACAATAATATTTGTAAAGGATTTCTTGTGATAACAATCTATTAGAGCATCTCTGAAAATTGCTATTGCTCGCAAATATACAAATTCCCAACTACAAGGATTTATATAAAAAAAAAACTTTTAAATTGTTTACCAATTCGGGTTCTGGAAGCCCAAATATCTATAATATCTATGTACAATCTAATTAATATCTGAAGATTACCTTAAGAACAAATCAGACCTGTGCATTGCGGTTATATTTACAAAGATTGATCATAAGAAGAGTGAGACTTAAAGAGAAGATATAAAATGTTCGAATTAATGTTGGATTATAATTGCTAAAGCTTGTGTGTTATCTGAATCGGCGGTTGGCTAAGTCTTACGTAAGCGCTAGGCAAGTTTCAAGGAGTACAACTTGTAAATAGTTGAGTAAGATTAAGAGTTGGAGTGATTAATTGCTGGATTGATTGCATAATATACGCTACGTATACGCAATGTTAGTCACCTGGAGCGCTTTGCACGTCAAGGGTTTGCCTGCCTATATTTGGGGTGCTTTGTCTTTTACCTTTCGGATGCACAACATTTGTTTGCTTGCCTAAAATTAGATATGAGGAGGGCGGGAGTTTACGTAAATGTTAGCAAATTGGCGTTTCAAAAATAACTGGCCTGATTGCAGGCGTGTTCTTTTATTCTGTGGTTATACGTGGGTGTGTGTGTTTGTTTGTGTGTGTATCTGTGTATGAGGCAAGTGCTGTTCTGGGCTTTGTACAGGTGAAATCCCCACTAATATCTTGTTTATACGCGCTAAGTACAAAAGCATTTGGCCCATTGACCACAGTGGGAATGCAAGTGTATGTGTGTGTGTGTGTGTGTGTGTGTGTGTTTGGGGCTTAGATTGGGCTTTATTGTCGGCGGCATTTAGTGTCCGCTCGGGCTTAAGTCAGCTGCAGGTGTCAATTAAAGGCAAGGCCAAAGGGCTACTGAAACTTAAAAGTAATTCAATTTGCTTAACAAGTTTACAATTTATCGAATTCCATAAGCTTACTTAGATTAACAATTAATTTATTGAATTGCCCGAAAATTTCTATCATCTTACGGCAGTCTATAAATAATTTAAGAAATCGACTATTTAACGCAACTATTTACACGCCTTCGTTAGACAGTTGAAATAAATGAATTGAAAAAGAAACCAAAATGAGAAGCGAAATGGCATGCGGCATATGAAAACAAGAAATCGAAGCAAATGTATATAGATAAAAATATATTTGTATATATAAAGAGCGAGTGGAAGAACTTAAGATTAGATAGAGCATAGAACGAAAGGCTTGATTGACAAAGCGAGGCATACATCAACGATAGAGCTACAGCTATACAGAGTAGAGTTACAGGCAGATGTTTAGAGAGTTAGTTTCTCATATACGTAATATTGTATATTTGGTTTCTGCGCGACGTTGCACTTACCTGTGTCTACAATCACATCGATGAGATCCATTGATTTGGCGAACGCATCTTTTAGATTGATATGATGGAAGGAGACAATGCTACCCTCGCGCTTGGCACGATCGAGCGCCTCGCGCCGCTTGAGGGCCTTCTCGCGTCGCATCTGATTCTTATAAAATTCAGCAAAATTGTTAACGATGATGGGAATAGGCAAAGCGATTACCAGAACACCGCATATGCAACACACAGTACCAATAACCTTTCCCAGTGGAGTTGTGGGATAGATGTCCCCGTAGCCAACAGTTGTCATTGTAATACCCGCCCACCAAAATGTTTCCGGTATTGAAACAAATTTTGTGTCCTTTTCATCCTTTTCGGCAAAATATGCCAGCGAAGAAAATATGAGAACGCCCATGGCCAGGAACAGCATTAGTAGACCGAGTTCCTTATATGAGTTACGCAGCGTAAAGCCTAACGACTGCAGGCCCGTTGAGTGACGGGCCAGCTTAAGGATTCGCAGGATGCGCATGATGCGGAATACTTGCACCACCCGGCGCACATCCTGGAACTGGTCCGTTGCATTCTTATTCGTTTCCAATAAAAATAACGAAACAAAGTATGGGAGTATTGCCAATAGATCGATTATGTTAAGGCCGCCCTTAAAGAACTTCCACTTGTCCGGTGAGGCGCTAAACCTAAGTATGTACTCTAGGGTAAACCACGTGATACACACGGCCTCAACCATTGCCAATTGCGGATTATCCTGTGGTGAACCATTGTCAATGTGTTGTAGTTGTGGTAAGGTGTTCAACGTCAGGGCTATGGTAGACAGGACTATGAATAGTATGGATATCACTGCGATAACCTGTGAACGGTAAAGAACAATCGAAACTTTGTCGAGACCATCATCAACAACAACATCACAACGATTATATTAACTATTTAATTAATCAAACACACAAAGTTACAACAATCAGCGCTTGCTTCGAGACATTTCATTATCGGAAAATTATTTTCGATTTCGTATTCATTCACATTGTCACATATTTTTCCATATTTGTTAAGTTCTTTCTGGAATCTTTCGATTAAACGATGTTACAGATTGAAGCAAACATTCGGTTAGCTGAGCGCAAAACGTTTAGTTTTCTGGGTGGGATTTTAAAACTCGATCTGAGAACCGTTTCAAAGATGTTGTTGATCGTTGGATAACTGATGACCGATTCCTGATGCCTGATGCCTGAAGCCTGATGCCTGATACCTGAGATGGGTAACACTCAGTTAGGGGATTTTCTGCAGGGTCAACATGGTATTTTTCTTTGGTGGTACTAAACAAAGGCTACTGTACTTTATGTGAAGTATATCATTTGTAATCCCTCTTGTTAAACATACAAACTGAACAATAAACGCAAACATCAACGAAAAATAAAATAAACTAAGGCTTAAGTCAAAGTAATCTCATGTTGTTGCCTTCAAATCAATTGAACTCTAGTGTTCTTGGAGTTAGTAAGTTGAGTGGTTGTTGAAGGGAGTTCGTGTACTTCGGGAGACCATATCAGGACTCAGAAGTAAATCAACGTCTAATTGGAATCGAAAAAACATGTTTCTCATCAAATGTGGGCGTGTTTCATTGTCGGCAATGTGCCTGTGATTGTGGTTGTGGTTTTGGCTGGTGGACAGTTTATCTGTGGGGGTGCGTGTCGTATGATTGGATAGTGTGTTGGGTGTATTAGCGCTTTTTGTGGTCTGTGTGTGTGTGTGTGTAAGTATAGGTGTATCTGTGTGTTAGACGTTGGACATGACGTAACACAAAAGTGTAGGACATTTACGCAATTTCTAGCTACGCATAGAGAATAAAGACCTTTTGGGTTCTGATTGGCACTACTTATGAGTGGTTGGGTGGGGGAAGAGGAGGTCTGTGTTAAATAAGAGACGCTACCATCGGGTCTGCAGTCGACATTTATATAATCAATTTTTCATAATCATGAATGGACAAAACGCTTTGTTCTACATTGTGTGGTTGTTCGTTTCGCTGTCTGTGTTTTGATTGTTTTTTTTGTTTTCAAAGTTGTATATTAACGATGAGTATAAACTGAGCAAAATTGGAAATTACGAGTACACATATTATGTATATGGAGCTTTAGTAGGTCAAAATGAAGGTACGTACTAGCATTTTACAAAGAAATTCAATGCATAATAACTTTCGATTTAAACGAGCTAGAAATTACGAATACTTATAGTAATTGAAACCAAATCAAATCAAATTATCTATATTTATATGTATATCAAACACTCAAATAATTGCAGAAAAAATACATAGATTTGAATTTCTAATATACTTCTTGTCATAAGTCAAATTGCTTGCAATTATTTTGATGTCATCCATAAATTAATGCATAATAATTGAAACACATAAAGAATTTTTCAATAACAAAGGATTTTTTTTTTCATTTTTGTAAATATTTCATGTAATTTACTAATAACTGCAAATTGCAATTAGTTTCTGTACGGGTCAAGGGGGGGTCAACAGGGCGGCGGTTTATCTATTTTGCATTTTGAAGTGGCCAAATGTCAAAATGTTTTGACAGTAACGAGTGCAGTTTCAATATCAATGCCACAATATAGTATATCGTATGTGGATGGAGAGAGAAAGAGGGCGAATTAGGAAAAATGAGAGAGAGTGATAGAAAGAGAGAGAGACAGAGAGAGAGAGAAATAGAGATAGAGAAAGAGATAGATAACCATAGATAGTTGGGCGCAAGAGGAATTCTGATTGCCACATAAGGTCACAATCCCTTACGTTCCATTTGTGTTATATGTATGTTAAAGGCGTGTGTTGTGTGAGTGTGTGTGTGTCTTACTTGTATGTGTCTGAGCACTGACAGTTAGTTGCCTTGGCAGTACAACTATTGAGGCAGGGTAGGCGGAAGTGCAGCTGACACAATATTAAACATTGGAAAACCTTTTTAAACAATTGAGAAAATTGCTTTTATGGTTTATTTAACATGTGTGTCCCTCAACGCCAAGCGACACACACACGCATCCAAATGAGGCTGCATGACTGTGAATATATATACATACATATATATAAGTATGTATATACATATGTATACGCGTGTTTGCTTGTGTGTGTGAGATGTAATGTAATATGTATGTGTATGTGTGTGGCACAAATTAGCTGTGTCCAGATCTACCATAGTAGGCCACTGTACGCAACCACGCATTTCTCTTTACTTTAGCCTCAAAACGAGTTTAACAAGTAAATGAAGATAATTTTGCATGGTTCGAGAGGAGGGTGGGGTTAGTTAGATAGATTCTACACTTTTTTTGGCTGGGAATAAGGCTAAATAATTATTGAGTTCGGCTTATGTAAATGATATGCTACTGTAATTAGATAGATATATAAGAGTATTGTTGGAAACATACACAGGTTTGGCTAGGGGGAGACCATTACGTAAAGTAAACATAATATAATAAATTACCAAAATGAATTGAGAACATTACGCATGAATTGAAAGAAAATTATTATAAATAAGACATATAGAATGAAGTCAAACAAATATAAGTCAAAAAGGTGCTTTCATTTGGCAACTTTCAAGCGTTCCGTACAAACGATGAGTAGAGTGGGCAAAGATATATACTAAACTACAAGTATGGAGAGTTGTTGGGCAAAGAGAAAGAGAGAAAGAGAGAAAAGAAAGAAAGAGCGAGAGAGAGTAAGGGAGAAACCTAGAACTTATATACACTTTGGCCACAATCGATTGCAATTTAAGTGGTCTTCGGTAGACTATCAAAGTTCGGGAAAGTTAATTAAATTTGAGTTTTGGCTTATACTTAGGCAGGTATCGGGGGGGCGCGGGAAGTACTGGGTACAACTTACTACTTGATATGATTTGGAATGCATGATGTAAAGAATTTACTTTATTCAATTTTTCATACAATTGACATTATATTTTGTTTAAATATATATTTTTACGATTGAATAGAATGCATTGGAGATGTTTAAAACAATAAACTGATTGTACGTGTTCGGGTTGTGCGAATTTTGGAACTGCTACCACTGCTGCTCAGTCATGATTGAGGGGGGGGGGGGGTAGGGGGGGGGTTTGAGGGGTATGTTGAAAGTAAAACATGATATCGCAATACGCATACTGAAGTTGAGCGCAGCTTGAAGACGCAATTTGGCTAGTTTGCTATACACTGACTATAGGTAGGTAGAACTAAATTTAAATAAAATATTGGTTTTGTACAAACAAAAAGCAACAACTAGAAGCACAGCCCGTGCCCAACTGGTGAGCATTTAACAGATTTACATAAGCGCTTGCCTCAGGGATAAAAACAGACTACAATTTATCTAAAGCAAAAGGAGAAAAATTAGAATAATGAGAAGCGATTTCTAGGAAAAAAAAACAAACAGCACAAAATATATTATCTTACAGGCGTAAATTTGAATTAACTTCCCTGTAGTCTTTGGTTAATCCACTTGAATTACAAAACAGGGCGAGTTTATGATACAAAACACAAATGTGGGCTGGAAAATGTGGCAACAAAAAACCGGGAGGAAAATCAATAGACAAAAATCAACAAAATGTGTTGAGAAGGTCACTTAAGACATGCGTAAAGAAGTTCGGGAGAAAATATAATATGATATCTTAAGAATATATATGCAAGACATTGGATATCCGTCTATACAACTATCTACTATACAAGACAATATATGTACATATATCATGTTAAAAAATTGGAATGGTAAAATGAAAAAAACATTCAACTTTTTGAGTTTATTTTGAATTAATTAGGAAAGTGCGCATACGCCATGTGGGCATAAACTTTAAATTGTTTGTGGTTGTGAAAAAGTTGTGTGTGTTCGAGTGTGTGTGTGTGTGTGTACGTATTTGTGTGTGTGTGTGTGTGTGCAGGTGTGCAGGTGCAAGGGGGTGAAATTGAATACAAAATGAGCAAGGGCCAAAGTAACGCACCGTCTTGCAATACAAAACTAGCTCACTAAATATTTAATCAGGTTTTTTTGCAATTGGTTTATACGGTTGGGTGTGTTTCTTGGTCGGCATATTTGTGGCTTTGGTATTCAATTTACTAAAAAAACAGAAAAATATTTGATGCAAGCTGGCTTCAGTATAAGCGAATACACTAGGCAAGAAATACAGAAAGTTTGGTGAGTTGAAATTTCAAGTTTAATTCATTTATTTTATACATATATCATATTTCTTCTATCTTGTGGTTAGGCTTCAGCGAAAACTAAAAAGGTATTGAAGGAAAATTTGAATTTGAAATGGCAGAATATCGAAGTTTTATATTCTTATTCGTATATTTATCGAACTATATACATCTACATATATATATTCAATCCTATTTCAAAAAGCACCGAAGACGTTAGTTGTAGTTATGTGTGTGAGAGTGTGTTTGTGTGTATGTATTTTAGATAATTTAAATGTTATCATGGTTTTGAGGCTGGTTCGATTGGAGATACTTAGTAGTTTAAGAAGCCAATGGACCAATTGGTTACAACAATCAATGTCAAAGATAAGATACGTTAAAGCACAACAATGAGTTAAGGAAATTTCTGTATGCAATAGACAACAAGACATCAAATACGAATATCGAGAACGTACGATTATATATACCATTGATTGATTGTATATATAGATCGTGTCGCAAAGGAACACAAAAAGTTAACACAAAAGGGTACACAATAAATAACATCGAGTTGAATTTTGGATTTACAAGTTTTATAAACAAAATGTGTAAAATTGTTGTATGTTGGTATTTTAATATATAGTTTTATATTAATTTTGTACACGGCAAATGTTTGTCTTGTGAGCGCGTTTTCCTTGCCATCAGTTTGGGTATTTATCGTATTGTTATATTGGACTATTCTCTTTCAACGTGGGTAAGAACTGAGTAGATTCTGAGTATTTCGAAATACTGCTCTTTACTCTTTACTGTTTTTTGTTTTGGTTCTCATATTTATCTTTTTCGTATAAAAAAGGATGTGTTTAGGCGGAGTATTAAAAAAAACTAAAAACATACAAAACTAAAAAGTTATTTTTTTTTTCTCTTCTGACCTTGTTAGTAGTTGAAGAAAAATGTAAATAAAAATTTTAAGAGTACAACTGGCAAAGAGCTCTGGAAATTTTTCATTACCTTTGTAAAATTAACAAATCATAAATTGTGTTAAAAATATTTTTCTCCTAATATCAAGTTTTAAATTGTATTGGCTATTGTGAGAAATGTCGAATTTTCTTTTTGAATTAAATTAAATTTTGAATATATTAAAGTATATAAACTTAACAGAATTTCAGTTGAATAATTTATAAAAGCAAGTCTTATAAAGTGTGTAGATTTTTTTGATAGCCAATACAATTTATTTGTTATTTGATTTCGCTAAAAATAAAAATAAATTAAAAACCTAGCAATTTAAAATTTTTGTAACGAAAAAATACATAATGTAAATAAAAAGGAAATTAAAATCGAATGAAAAATTATTGGAGATGCGCCCAAATATGTTGTAATTATTTCCATTTTCGGCCATTGGTTAAAGCTAAAGCTAACTGAAATCGGGACATTGGCAAATTATCGGCTGTTATGTACAAGCTGAAGCCAAACGGTGTGTGAATATGTTGCGAGATATTTATAGATGTGTAAGTGGGCTAAAGCTAAAGTCTTGATCATAGGTAATTATTGTACAAGAGCGGGCGGGACGGGGCGTGGCAATTGAGAGCACAACATATGCGAAACGCCATCGAGGGACGAATGAAGATTTGCGTATGCTGTGCTGCCAAGCCAGAAGCTATTTAACAATGGGTCGTTATTGATATTGATCAATTTCTGAATTGCACCCTCTATGGAAAATGGAAATGTATTACAACACGGCTTTGGCCGCTTCTCCCCAGAGTCCTTTCTCTTTACAATATTTTCGAGGATTTCTACAGCACACCTGCCGCCTGGTCATATCGCTTATTGCCCATTCCCAAACATTGTTACAGGGTTTTTTTTTTTGTTTGAGATTAAGAAGACATTAGAGATAAATAGAGAGAGATTACTTCACCATCATCATCAACAATTAAGAGATTAAAATGTATAATATATATAGCATAAGTTTTTATAAATTTATAAATATATGTATGTAAATTTTATCATATACTGTGTGTGATAAAAAAAAGTTAGATTAGAAAAGGATTAGTAATTAATTTTGTTGTCTTTTCCATTTTGCACTTTTTGTGCGATTGCTATTTAATAATTATGTAAATGTTGACCAACTCTAGCGACAAACTCGGTGTCCATGTCACGGCGTCGCGTGGTTAGTGACAAATACTTAAGACAAAATACGAAACAAAACAAATATAATCTATGAATGGTACTATAAAGAGACTAAACGGTGGGGGGAATTATAAGTTAAGTGTAACGCAAAATTATGTATTAACAATAAAACACAAAGAGCGGCACACTCTGCGCAAACCCTCAGCGAGAGTCCTCACGTGGCGTGCTAAGAGCCGCCAAACAGTTAAGAGCAAGAACAAGATGATGAACAAGATGAGAAATACGAGAGCCTGAACTGAATGGCAGTCCTGTACGAGTAGGTCCTGTTCCAAGTACTTTGTTAGCTGCCCTTGAATGTGACGCTGTATTAGGCACAACACAAAAGCAATCGAATACACTGAACGAACTTATGAGCTGAGATACTTGACATAAGTTGATAAACACGAACGATACTGAAGTATATTAATATCTATATATGCATATATGTATATACTTTATTTATGCATATATCCTATGTATGTTTTATACAGTGTCACAGGCACAACATTGAACTGAGGTTATTCAATAATAAATTTGCTTTAATCTCGCAGAGCAGTTTGGCGCCAATCTCGAGCTGATTTATGTACAGCGGCGGCAGCGGGAGGAGCAGCAAAGTTAAATAACAAATGAAGCAATATTTATCGATACGTGTATATCGATAAATTGAACACTGCATATTTGAGATGCTTAAATTTTTCTCAAAAAAGCTCAATAAATTTTCAAATGCAAAGCATATCGGCAATTGGCGGCTTCTTAGAGTCTTAACATATGTACATATATATAGATAGTGGTTGTGATATATATAGGCAATATATGGTACAGCATTTTGTTTGAGGGGGAATTTTCCTGTTATTTTTACACTATTTTCGTTTTGCTTGGCAGTGAAATTTATATTACAGAGTGCTGCAAATGCCGCGCTATATGTAATACAATAGTGTAAAAATAATATTCTAATATACGGAACTAAAACTGGCACAGAAACAAAAAAAATAAAAACTATATAAATTGAAACGAATGAAGTTCGACAAAACTGTAACTGAAACTTTGGATCATAAACAGAAACTTAGAAATACGAGTAATTAATGTAGGAGAAAAGGAACTTTATTTATTATTATTATTATTGTTTTTTTTTCTTTTGCTTACGCTGGACACTTGACATTGACACATACGGATTACGGATACGGATATATAGTTATGATGTTAGGTAAGTAAACACACATTAAGGATAAGGAGCTTGAGTTGAACTGGCAACTGATTGGACTTACCCGAGCCGCGAAGCTGGTGTTGGGCTTTTCGAGCAGCTCCCAGAGATACTTTTGGTATTCAGCGCATTTACCTTCGCCGAACTCTTCCTCGTCCCGCTGCCGCAGCGATTCGGCCTCCTTGCGCATCTCCTCGTGCACGTTCTCCTTGCGCTGATGGTACTTGTGCTGGCAACACGACTCCAGATACAGTTCGTCAACGCCCCAATACTCCAGATCATCACTAAACGCAAGCACGCACATTTCATCCACAATGTGCAGTTTCCCGGTGCGATAGAAATTTAATATCGAGCTGAAGCTCTTCGGATGACGATCAAAGAAATACTCGTTGTCAACCAGCGAGTAATCATCGCACAGCTCTATGATGGCCTCATGGGTGGTGCACTCCCTCAGCCTGCCCAGCCGCGTGTGCGGCAGGCGTTCCAATGTGCGCCACAGCACCTCATGCTTCACACCGCCCACATTGATGGAGACGCGGCTGTTCATTTGCCTCGATTGTGCTATCATGAACGGCTCCGGCGGCGGTATGGGAGACATGGATCTGGAATGTGTCCGCTGCAATGCGCCAGTTGTATTGCCCAGGCTAATGCCAGCATTTGAGCCAGCACCGGGCGGCAGCATAACAACTCCGACACCAACGCCAACACTACCCACACCGCTAGCACCCCCGATCCCGCCGCCGAGGCTGCCAGTGGGGCCGCCAATGCTGCCACCACCAATGCCGCTGCCGGCTCCCCCACCACCGCCTGCCCCACCACTGAGTGCCATTTGCAGCTGCTGCTGCTGCAGCGCAAGAGTCTGCTGGGAAGTTGTGGGATTTGAATGCGTTGGTGATGTAACTGGGAATGGAGCGTAACGAACTTCCTTGCCAATGGCCCCGGTGCTGCTGCCGGCAGCGGCGCCGGCAGCGGCAGCGGCAGCGGCACCTGCGATCTGCGTCGCTCCGCTGCCGAGGCTGCCTCCAGCAGCAGCTCCCAGGCCGAGAGCAGCAGCTGTTGTGTGCGTTGCTGCTGATGCGGCGGATGGGCCAGCAATGCCGACGCCATCAGCAAAATCCATGTGGCGATTGTTGAGGATAACAGCGCCGCCGGCAGCAGCTGCGCTACCGTTATAAGCAGCGCCGCCAGTTGCTGTGACAGTTCCACCGAGGCAACCATATGAACTAGCTCCACCGGTTCCCATCGCTCTCTCCCAATCGACATTACCGCTTGTATCGTAATAGGGCTGATTATCGCCGCCGTCGGCTGCGCCCGCAAGTTGCAGTCCACGCGCAGCTGCCTCGTGTTGCTGATAAAACAGTTCCGGATGTTGTGGTAGCTGTTTCTGTTGAAGTTTCTGTTGCTGTTGCTTTGACTGTTGTTGTTGCAGTTGTTGCTGCTGCTGTTGTTGTTGACTTTGTTGTTGCTGTTGCTGTTGTTGGCCAGCAGCCTGTCCACCATGCAATTGCCCGACCATTTGTAACACTCCATTATTGTTTTGAAGCGGTGTTGTTTCACCCGTTGCCCAGCGTACCGCCTCACGGTCCCTGTCGCGTTCGCCGACCATAAGTCTGCTGCAGATGGCGATTGCCGCAAGACAGATAACCGATATTAGATAACAGATTAAAGATTTATAGACTTCACTTGACTCTCTGGCTCTCCTCTACTTACCGCTACATCGCGTCAATTGTTGTCATTACAGCCACCACCGTCGTCCCGCCGTTGTTCTGTCTCAGTCCTTTGACTTAATTGGCTTCCTTTTGCCTATTTGCTGCTACTTGTGCGCAATTGATTTCAATTTTCAATATCTGGAGATCTATAAATTCAGCAATTGGGCACCAGATACGGTCTGTAGCTGGCTCTGGCTTTGTCTTTGGCTCTGTTTCTGGCTAAGAGTCAGCTTTGGCTTCGACTGCTCCTTGCTGTGGGTCTGTGTGAGTTGCTGGCAGCTTTCCTTCATGTCTTTGTGTGGCGTTGTTTTTATATGCTGGTTGCTGGTCGTTGTTGTTGTTTTTCTTGTTGTTGTTACTGTAGTTGTATTTGTTGCGTGTTTAAGCTATGATCACAGTTTATTTCTAGGTTTTGGGCTTAATTGGATTTTGATTCGAACTGCGGCTGGCTTAGGCGATAATTGGCAGCATTTTGTGGGGCTCTAATATGCTATGTGTTTTTGTTGGTAGATAGCTGCAATTAGAAATACAAAAAGTCGATCAACAAATAAATTATAATACAGTTACGATTTGACTGATAGGCCAGTTAAATATGTATTGTTGTCTTTAGTTAAAACCCAACATTTGCAGGCCGCTTCCCTACTAAATCAATATCAGTTGACAGCTGATAAGATAAGCGACGATAAGCGACACAGTGCAATTTTTAAAGCATACTTTTTAGGGCTGGTTTATATTATAGTATATATACACACACACACTTGAACATGATAAAAGCCGTGTGGTGCGCGGCCTGTAGAATACCACCACAGCTGGTCATAGCTTGTCGTATGAGGCGACTGAAATGACAAGGGTTAAGAAAGAAGAAAAATACTTGCCATTAACCTACATTCTTCATATAGCAACTAACTATTTATGCGATCAGGTATTGATTGATATGAGATGATATGATATGAGAGCATTGGGTAAAAAAGTGCCATAGCAGGAATAAAGTGCCACAGCAGAGACTTTGGATAGAGAGAGAGAGCAGAAAATGCTGTACACTAGTGGAGGGCACGAGTACACTTCAGAATGTGTTCGAATCTGAACAAAGATCAAAAAGCTGTCTCAATATGATTAGGCCTAAGCCTATGTTCGAAGGAGACACCAACTGCAGAGATCTCGGCCAACTTCCAGAGTGACTATTTAAAAAGGAACAGAGTCGAGCGCAGAGTGTCTAAAATAGTGGGAGGTGAGTTTGGCCAGCGCCTTTAGTCAACAGCTTTTCACCTAAATGCGAAAAAAAATCAAAAACACACGCGCACACACTTCGTTTTGGCCATTGGTAACGAGGCCATCGATGTGGTCCCTTATTTATTATGGTTAATTTGCAAATGCCGAAGGCTGTGCACAAATTTTGCATTTAAATGCCGCCAAAGCAAACGCCAAGCTCCACATTTGCAAGCACACACCACGCACGCACACACACACACACACACATACACACTCGCAAACACACACAAGCGTGCTGGCCTGGAAAATATATGCTGGCTATTTTGGTTTGGGCGAATGCGAATGCTTCAATTGTTTTTGGTCTGGCTGTTGCCTAAATCGCATTTTCTGCCGCATTGCATTCAAATTTGAATTTTTATGCCAAACGGAAATGCATTGTAATAAGCGTAAGGGCTGCGTTTTTGCAAGTTATGCACCCCAACAATTGACCATAAAATGTTAATTAAACTGCTCAAAACTCTAGATAAAAACCATGCCGCATTGACCTTGACTGCTTTTTAAGTTTATTTCGACTACAAACCATTTTGGGTTAGTCGTGTGGGAGCTGCAGTTAATCAAACATTGCGCGAGCTTTCTATTTTTTATAATGAAATGTCTGAAGCTGCAAGTTTAAGGCATAGTTTTGACACTCGAATGTAATTTAAATATTAACAGCTTATTTAATGTGCAAATCACAAAAAATTCGAAAAGTTTTCAAAAATGTTTTAGAAATTGATTAGTATAAACTACATTTCCCGACTGGTCTGACTGTAATAAGAGTCATGGTGGGTAGAGGGACTTAAAATGCTAAATTTAATTGTCAATTGCTTGGCTTAAAGTGGGCCAGGCCTCTTTTAAATTAAATTGTTTTTGTTAATTATTTGAAGATTACTGCAAAATTCTTTAGTTTTCTATATTGGCTCTCACTCTAGTTTAATTTCTCTGGATAAGAACTTATTTTAGGTAAACAGAAACTATAGATTTTTATATATTATATTTCGAGTCGGCTAAACTAATATATCAGAAATGCAAAGATGTCTAAAATCAACATTTTAACGTGTAATTTATTTTCCCAATCATAAAATGTAGAAGGCCCAAGCCTTGATTCATAGATATAAAAAGGCTTGCGAAACAAACTTAAAGGTGAGGCCTTGGTATATATTTCAATAGTTTTTGTCAAGAAGGAATACATAAAATTTAAAAAAGTAATACTAAGAAAATATCTCGTTATAATTTATGTTTTAAGCTACCAAGATTTAAAATGGAATTTCTTAGCTATTGCTTCTTTAATACCTTACTTATTATCTTTAACCTTTAAGGTTTTATCTTCAACTTCTGATATACAAATTAACTTTTTTATTTTGCCAACTCTTTAAATATCTTTTATCTTCACCTTTTTCTTCATCTTTCATACCTTTCATATCGAATCAATAAATTGAAATGTAGTGTATTTCCTAAGCCTGCATTAAGAATCGCATGTTTTCACTGCTCGCATTTGATTCAGTGATGCCCAAGGCGCCTGTCACATTTGTGAGCATTTCATTTGAATTTAGCTCACATGGCTGGCGTGCAAGGACGAAATTATTGTTATATGTACGTAAATATGGTAAATAATATAGTTTTGCTTGAGTTTAGTCCGGTTAAATTGTTGTTTATGAGAGCGGGTCGCTTATTACAAAATGGTAATGGCAAAGCGCGCGCATTTTTGACAACATTGTTGGCGTTTTTTGCATTTAGATTGTTGTTTTTCGTCGCGTGTGTTGTAACCTTATGCAATTATTTGTGGCGCAAAATGAAAATAAACTGCATGCAAATCGTGTTGCGTTCGGTCGTGTTGCCACATGCAACACGCTTGCCTCTCGCTCGACACTTAAGCGTACAACTGTGTGAGGCATACGTCAAGTGGCCAACTTCACCTTGATACCTGTTGAATTGCCTTCAAAACGTCCACCGCCACGGCTGATGCCAAAGTAAAAGTTAAATTGCAATTAATTTCATGATATAATAAGGCGAGACCTTCCACTCGCATTTCTCGCGCGTTGCACGTTGTGTAATTTCATTTGACAGCTCGGTTCTTGTCGTAAAATGTGAGTAAATGGCGTTGGAATTTATGACAGCACACGCTCACACACACACGCGCAGACGAGCGACACATGGGCTCATAAATCTTAGACATAATTTGCCTACACGTATGTACAATTACAAAATGAACACTTAATTGCCCATAAATAGTTTGATAACGCCCCCCAGAGAGTCTTCTGATGTGCATATATGTGTGTGTGAGTGTGTGTAGACAGTGTCTCAGGTTACGGTCAGGGTCATTTCTTGCACACATCCCTAATGGAGCTATCCCAGCAACAGCAACAAGAGCAGCTATTTCTTCAAATAACCCCGTATGGACAGCTATTAAAAAGCTGCTTAGCAATTTTACGCTTAGCCATTTTGGATGACACAGCGGAACTTTGTTGCGTTGCGGGGTGTGTGATTAATGATTTCTTTGACTTGGACACTAATTGAAAATGGCCAAGCCGACACACACACACACACACACTCGCACACAAAACAAGCAATTAGCCAAAGAAGGCAATATAAGAGGCTAGTACAAAACTAGTTTACATGCACATAAAGAATATATTTATGTTATTTTCTTGTGAACAGTTTTACAAGAAATGCACATTTTTCAAAGATTAATATTTTCAGAAAAAAAAACAAGCAGAAACACTTTTAAAAAATGTGAAATATAGAGAAAAAATCATTTTTAAACTCCCAAGTTTTTTATGTATTTTTTTTTAGAAGTCAGCTTTAAGGCTTTTATAAGACATAGATACCTATTTAAATATAGTTAAGCCAGGGTTTAAAGTCATATCTTTTTAAATATAAAGCTGAGCTACTGAAAATGGGCATTTGAAATATTTCTCAGAATATATATAACAATTAGAAAACAGTTCACACTAACTGAATGTCTAATGTGGCTACAAATTGTGAGTAACAGTCGTCTGTGAAGTGCTTTAAGTAAATACATATCTGACTACATATAGTTGTGCATATATGCACTTTATGGGCTCTCTAACAAACCCCCTTTCCCTCCTCCCTTACACCATTTCATACAATTGTATTTATAAGCTAAGGCAACGCATGCCTTAGCCTTTGAGTGCAGGACATAAACAAAATGATAAATGCTTCAAGAGCCAAAATTCCACTTAGCTGTTAAAAGCGGCGCCTCAAGCATTTGCATAGCTAAGGGGCCTCAGATGCCTGGTGCATTGAAAACAAAAACAAAAACAACAACAACAACAACAATAACAACAACAATAACAAATGCAATGCAAATATTCAGCTGAAACAATGGAAAAGCGTGTCAGTGTTGTTCGGCAAATAGAGAACATTTATTGCCGACTTTTAAGGGCCGCCATTGTCGACGTTGACTAAATTTATGGCGCCATTTTCTTTTTTCTTGTTGGCTGCAAACATTTCACAAGTCAAGTGCATTTATATATATTTAAGTGTGTGCGTTGCTATTGCTATAGTTGTTGTTGTTGCTATTGCTTTGTCTTGGTCTTCACTAGAAATGCGTCAGCGCTAACCTCAACACTTAAGTCAGTGCCTTTGGTCGTGTGCTTCGTTTTGCCATCAGCACACGCCCAGTGCTTTCACAGCCCCGCGCCCTCCGCCCAGCCACATCCGGCCACAGCCACATCCGACGCCGCCGCCGCTGCTGCTGCTGCTGCTGCTGCTGCTGACCCTTGCCTGCCATTGGCGACTGCTCTAATTTAGTTAGCGGCCACGAACAGAATTCAAACAAATTTAGAAAGTCACACACACACGCACACACACAGTCTGTGTGTTAAACACACTTTGAACCTTTTTGTACACTTTCCATTTTCTAAAACAAAAGGCAAAGCTGAAGAAAATTGTTGCGAGTTACTCCAATTTTTATTCGGCTTTTGTTTTGGTTTTTGCGTGCGAGCTTGACTTATTGGCCATTGGCATGCAAGCATCTTGACCAACTTGGCCCAACTTGGCCTTGGCTAATGGGCGTGGGACTATTTGGGTGCTGTGTGACCTGTGCTATGTGCTTGTGTAGGTGTGGGTGTGTGTGTGTGTATGTGTGTGTGTCCGAGAGCGCATTCATGGTGTCTGCTAAGTGTGCGCTTTATGGCAGCTTTCTCTCACTTTCGCGTAACCTTTCTCTAGCATTTGCTCTGCCTTTCATTTCAATTGTTGCACTCGGCAACTGTAGCATATTCCAGAAGGCCCCCGCTCTGC